CATGCCAAGTTTTTCATTATGGCTTGCCACAATACCTATCTGATGTTATTGAAAGGATTCAAAAGAGAGCACTGCGCATAATTTACCCTCAACTGTCCTACCAGGATGCTCTAGACATGTTAGAATTAAAGACTTTATCTACACGCAGAGGTGATTTATTGTAAGAAACTTTTTAACTCGATTCTGGACAATGAGGACCATAAGCTTCACAACTTACTGCCACCTAAGATGACATCCGATACATATTTTAGGAACGAAAAACTTTTTAATATTCCAAAATATCGTACTAATAGATATAGAGATACTTTTATAATATCTAGTCTAATAAACTCGTAAAAATTGGTATTTTACAATACAGAACTAATAGTTAAGAGATACTTTTTATAATATTAAATTAGGTATTTTGTAATCGTTTTAAACACTTTGTATAAAAATCATGTAATTCAGCTCTATGCATGGCTGCTAGAAGATTTTAATAAACATATTATCCATCTATCTATCTATCTAGACCACCAGACTGGGGTATCTCGGGCTGATAGTTATATGGATGAAGTTGTAGTCGTTAGCAAACTGTTTGTACTCTTCGGATGAGTACTGTGGGCCGTTATCGGAAACTACACTTTCTGGGATTCCGTGTCGACTGAATATTGACTTTGTCTTGTTGATGACTGTCCGTGCTTTCGTGTTTCAAAGTTCAGAAACTTCGGGGTATCGGCTGTAATAGTCAGCGACTATTAAATGCGGTTTTCCATTCCAGTCAAAAAGATCAGTGCCGACTTTTTGCCAGGGTCGACTGGGAATTTCATGTGGACGAAGTGGTTCTTGTTGGTTGGCACCGGCGTGATGAGGATATGTGGAACAGGATATGTGGGCCTTGTAGATAAGCCCACCTTCGGTAGTCAGTTCTTGGCGGTATGGGTAGTACGGTTGTACTTCACTTGGAACCAGTATCTTATGATCTGGCCATCCATCTTGTATCTGTTTGACCAAAAGTTGCATTGTTTCGTTTGTATGGATTTCATCTTTGATGGCTTGAAGTTTCCGGTCAGTGACGTAAGACTCGGATGACAGCAGATGGATGAATCGCTTCGAAGCGATGTCTTCTTCAAATTGCTCTGGTATTATCTCAGGAGGAAATGCACGTGACAGCGCATCAGCGATGTACATTAACATTTTTGTACACTAACATTTTTTGGAGGCGACTCGGTGCTTGTGACAAGGGTTTTTTGAGAATAGCTTCCAGAGGTTTGTGGTCGCTTTCGACAGTAATGGTTTTACCATAAACGTACTGATGGAATCTTTTGCAGACGAAAACAACAGCCAGCAGTTTCTTTTCGATCTGTGCATAGCGTCGTTGAGTGTCGTTCATGGCTTTCGATGCATAAGCTACTGGACCTTGGTTTTGGATTAGAGCAGCTCTCTGTGAAGCGTCGACTTGGAGTGTCACTGGTTTTGCTACATCGTAGTAACGCAGAGTAGCAGGGTCAGTTAGTGAATTCTGTAGATCTCGGAACGCTTTCTCGTGTGTTTCGAGCCAGTGGAATGCAACGTTCTTCTTGGTGAGTTCTCTCAGAGGTGCGGTGACGTCTGAAATGTTCGGTGCAAACTTGGCGATAAAATTGACCATGCCTAACAGTCGTTGGACGTCATGTTTGTTC